GAAAAATGCTTGGTGGCGACTAGTTTGCTCGCTGCGAATCGGAGATGCATGTTTCTGTCGGGGTTCGGACCTGCGCGCGCCTCTCAGAATTGCTCTGGGCGCAGCTGGAGGGCTTCGCGAAGGTCGCGTAGGAAAGGCTCGCGTCCACGTCCTTGCTGTAGGCAATCCAAAACCATGCGCCAACTCCACTGGCTCCGAACTGCGCGGTCGTGGACGGGGCAGGTTGAGGAGAAGGTGAGCCGCGATCGGGATGTGATCGAGAATGCTTGCTCTTGTCCGTCCTTCGCGCCGTGCCAATCCACCGTCTGCAACTCGCGTCAGCCATGGGTGGGACGGGGGTGAAGATGGAATCGATGGTGGTCGCGCCGCCGTGTCCGATGAAGGTAGGCCCCACCTTGCGGTGGGTGTTGAGAGCTCCCATGTCGTGGTCGTGCATGAGGTCGTGCAGCAGCTTGCCGTTGTCGTTCTCGTGGCCGTCGCCCGATGCATGCGTCCTGAACTCGCTGTTGACCACGCGTCCCCATTCCCGAGACCGCATCTGTCAAGACCGAAGAGACGCGCCGATATGGGCACGATTGTCAGACATCGTCCAGCCAGTGGCGTAGAACCTGGCAGCCCTTTCTCCAGCTCGGCCGTGCCCACAACTTCCTGGGGCGATGTTCGAAATACGAAGCCATAGTGCGCAAGCAGAGGGGGCCCTGGTTGAGGTCGAGCATGCCACCTCGCCCAGCGACGATCGGCGGCGGCACCTGGATTGATGTAGTCGATGTTGAGCGATGCCTCCCGCCCAGGATGGTGCTGCAGTCCGTGCTTTTGTTGGTGCGTGCTGCGGGTTGCCAATCAAGTGTACTATGGTATGCTAGTCCGTGCGCTCTCGGGTGTGAGCAGGTCGCGGGTCGCATGTGGCCAGCGCGGGCGGTCTTTTTCGACATGTCCCAGTGAGGCCGCCCACCGCCACGCTGCGGCACGCCAGCGACAACTCCTGAAGGCGTGCTGGCTGGAGGCTCCCCACGTTGCGCGCAAACACACGAAGGGCGAAAGAGGCCCAGCGCCCGCTTCATGTGCTCGCAGCCCCACGGCTCCAGCGGCAGCTCATGGCGGGCGCGAGCGAACGATGCTCGTGCGGGTGCGCGAAGCCGTGCTGCTCCTGGATGGGTCAAAGGCGTTTTTTCTAAGATGATGATGATGACGATGATGATGATGATGATGATGGTGATGATGATGATGATGATGATGATGATGATGACGATGACGATGACGATGATGATGATGATGATGATGATGATGATGATGATGATGATGCTGATGATGATGATGATGATGATGCATCAATGATGATGATGATGATGATGATGATGATGATGATGATGATGATGATGATGATGATGATGATGATGATGTTGATGTCTGGGTGGGGACACCGATTGCGTCAAGAAGTTCGATGTCTGAGGGGGCGGAGGGAAGGGGAACGTCGAAGAATCCGACTTCGGGGAAAAAAAGGGCGGGGGGCGCGGAAAACCCGCTGAGGGCTGCTCCAAGCATCCGAGACCTCGTGCCCTTCGCGACGTGGCTCCCCAGAGGTCTGGGCCCCGACGGCCCAGGGCCCGGCCCGGGCCTGCTGCGGCAGAACATCGCCCAAAACCTGGCGCCGCATCTCTTCTCGCAGAGACGGGAGGAAAAGGGGGGAAGGATTCTGGCCCAATCATATTGCCGTTGGCTTAGTATGGGGGGAAGCGGGTCCTGAGAGAAACGGGTCCCGGACGCCGGTGCCTTCGAACAGGACGAGCTCTTCACCCCGAGTCGTCTTCTGATAGTCCCGGGGACCGTGGAGAGCCCCGGGAAGCCGAACGCGGCGACAAGCCTCAGGATCCGCTTCCCTCGGGACCCACTTCCCCCATGGTGATTCGTAAGGCGAGGCGAGATGAAAGCAACGTGACAAGGTCGGACCCCGATGCGCAGGGAATCTCTGTGACCTGGCAGGTCTGGGGGCGCAGCTGGCGCCGCGGCGCCTCCTGCCGAAAAGGAGGTACGTTCCCTCCCCTCCCATGAGGGAACGATAAGGGAAATAGGCATAAGGGGTAACGATAGGGGACATAGGCATGAGGGAGATAGGTAACGATAGGGGGAAAGGCATGAGGGAACGATCGTTACCCATCATGACAGGGGTAACGGTGGGGGTTCCCCTATCCTTACCCCTGCCATGAGGGGTAACGATAGGGGAAATAGGCATACAGTGGAGGCCAGTCCATCGGAAACCTTCCAGAAGAAACGCAACCCTGAGACCCCAGGACGTCCACTGATTCTTGGTGTGGGAGAACGCCACGCCTCTCATCGCAAAACCATCGAACCCCAAGAGACCCAGGGCACCCTGGAGGCAAGCAGGGTGGTTCTTGGCATGGGCATCCACTGCAGCGAGGGGGACCTCGACCTGGAATCGGCGACACATCAACATTAGATCGGCAGCTGGCCCCCGATCGTGAATCCGCACGGCCCTGGGCTTTTGGTGGGGCTATGGGGCCCCTGTCGTCGATCCATGGGCGAGCGGGGGTCGATGCGTCCACACCTATGCCTATCCCCCCTATCGTTGCCCCTGGTCCGGGAGAAATTCAGCTTCTAGAAACTGCTGGGGCGGATTTGGTCTGCCGTTGTCGGCCTCCAGGAGCCTCTCTTTCGGGCGTCTAGGAGCGTCGAAACACGACAAGGGATGAAACGCTGGCTAGAAGGAAAGGGTCGGGGCCTCCAGGGACCCCGTATTGAAACATTCAAGACGTAGTATCGGGGATTGGGCCAGACTCAAGGCCGAAAAATTAAGCCGGATGAGGGGGTATTGAGCGGGATCGGGCTGGACCAGGGCGGTTTTCGACCACGGGCATACCGGCGCCGCTGCTGAACTCACCCTTGCAGGACTTGCATCTAAAAGAGAAGGGACAAAGAGGACGGAGGCTGGGTTTGGTACGTTTTCACTCCCAAGCATCCATCGGAGGGGGGGATGGAGGGGGAAGAGGGGCACAATGTGAGAGGAAAATTACGAGGAGAGGAGACAGGGAGGAGGAGGGAGGGAGGAGACAGGGAGGAGAGGGAGGGAGGAGACAGATCAGCAGGAGGGATGGAGGAGGAGAGGAGACAGAGAGGAGGAGGCAGGGAGGACGGCAGAAGGTTGCTTCAGACCTCCGACGTCGCTCGTCTTCCACAGCGTGGGCCCCCGGAAATCTGGACACCCTCCCTGCGACAAGCCGCCCCTTGATCAAGAGCCCCGGGGCCCAGCGAGGGCTCTGGCGGCCCGCGCACGGCGAAGACCCTCGCGTCGTGACCTGCTCTTGACGCGAGGAGGAGGATGAGGAGGAGGAAGGGGAGGAAGAGGAGGACGAGGGGGAGGATGAGGAGGAGGAGGAGGACGAGGAGGAGGAGCAGGAGGAGGGGGGAGGTTAAACTTTCGAGGTCTCCAGTGGCGATTCGAACCACTTCGAGCACCCCCAAAACGCCCTCCGCGAGACGCAGCTACAGGAAAGCATCTCAAGGCTGGAACACCTCCACGAGCCCACGAAAACGTTCGAAGATCTGCCGTTCTGGCGCAGGTGGTCGGGACATCCCAGACATCCGACGTCGTGAGTTGTTCAGCGTAGCTCCCCAAATCTGGACCCTTTCCTGGGAATCGGCTTTTTACCCTGGGCTGTTTTGGCGGACGAGCGGCCCAAAGCCAAAAAGCGCAAACACATCTTCCGTCGCGATTGTTTCACGCGGGCCCTCATTTGTTTTTTGGTTCCCTCACCGGGACTGGTTGTGCACCCCGAACCTTTTCTGTCTATGCCAGGGCCCCGTAAAGGCTTCAGGAGGCCGCACATTGCCAACATCCCGCCGCCATTATCATCACCATCATCATCATCATCATCATCATCATCATCATCATCATCATCATCATCATCATCATCACCGCCATCGTCATCATCGCCATCAACATCATCACCGTCATCATCATCATCATCATCATCATCATCATCATCATCATCATCATCATAACATGTATCAGCAGTATCTTTGCCGTCGCCGTCACCATTATCACCATCGTCATCACCGTTTTAATCGGCATCGCCATCCTAGTAGTAAGCATCGTCATCATCGTCATCAGCATCATCACCATCATCATCGTCGTCATCATTATCATGATCATCATCGTTGTCACCCTGATCATCATCATCACCATTATCACACCCCAATCGTCACAGTAATCTTCAACCTCATCATCGTCTTCATCACCAAGCCCATCACCAGTAGCATCAGTATCAACATCACCACTACTATCTCTATTACCACCACCACCATCACAATCACAATCACCATCACCACCACCACCATCACCATAATAATCGTCATCATCACAGTCATCGTCACCATCATCATCACATTCCTCCTCATCATCATCCTCATCCTCATCATCATCATCATCATCAGCACCATCACCATCACCACCCTCATCCCCCTCCTCATTACCATCTTCAATCTCCTCATCATCTACATCCTCGTCCTCCTCCACATCATTATCAGCAGCACCATCATCAGTGTCAACATCATCATCATCATCATCATCATCATCATCATCATCATCATCATCATCATCATCATCATCACTTTCATCATCACCATCACCATCGGCCCCTGGTACGTCGTCATCACGTCGGCCCCTGGGGCGTCGATTCCTTCTGGGAGCGACGTTTTCATTCCGATTTGTTGTTCGACGGGGTTCGGTGACCGCCAAAAACCTTCCGCCGTCTTTTGTTGACGTCGCGAGAAGGTGTGGCTTCCAAGTCAGACTTCGGATTCTCTGGTGGCCGCTCGGGATGATTCGGGTACCCCCCCGCAAGGCCCTCGGCGAGGCGCGGCTGCAGGAAAGCAGTCCGAGGCCACACCTGCAGGAACCGACGAAATCGCCTGAAGACCTTGGACGACCACGCGAGGCGGTGGGGCCGTCCCTCCTCCCTCGCGTGGTCGACGGGCGGAGGCGCATGATCGCGAACATCACCTTCGAGCGCACGGACTCGGGGCACGACTCGACCGCCAACGACATGCCTCGGCCGGCGACGGCGGGCATTCCGCTCCCGGAGCGCCCGGGCTCGGGGCGACTGCGCATGTGAGGCAAGATGATGTCGTGACGACTCGTGTGCTGGCTTCCGGCACCGAATGCGTGGCTCAAAATCTGGACCGACCGTCCGGCAAGGCGGTTCGTTCGATGTTGGCAGGGTCTGGCTCACTGGCTAATCTGAGGGTCCTGTCTTGGAAACACCGACTGTTCAGAGCGACGACTGAGATTGCATGTCCTCCTACAGGCGGATGTTGGACGAAAGGGGAGAACACATAATCGAACAACGCTCAAAAACATTCTAAAAATAATCAAAACATCGTCCCCCGACTATTTGGCTGTTTCAGAATTTCTTCCTGTAGAGGGACATACCCGACTTCAGACTAAGAAAAAAAACACGGGGGAGCGATGTCGAGCATTGCTGCCGAACGATCCCGAGAGGACGATCAAGCCATCTCCATTGCGACGACGACGCCCACGAGCAGGTCAGGAAACCAATTCTTGAGTCATCGCCCAAGGCACTGCTGTGATTTACGGCGCCCTCAAGGTATTTTCTGCCTCGCCATCCTATATTTAGGTCGGGCATGTTCTCCTACAGGCAGATTGTGGACGAAAAAACAAAAAAACACATTTTTTTGAATTGTCGAAAGTAGTCAACAGTTTGTACCCAGACGATTTACCATTTTTGAATATTCCCCCTGTGGAGGGACATGTCCGCATGTCCGACTTACTCCTGCATAGGAAGTCATTTCTTCACCGCCATTTCTGGGAGGCCGTGTGTGCGCCTCCCTGGGAGACAGGCTGCTCTCGCTGGCCAGACTGCTGCAACATGCACACATAAGTCTGGCATTCGGTCGGGCGTGTCCCCCTACAGGCGGATTTTGTACGAAATATAAAACGTACCCCAAACATACTCAAACATATGCACAACTAATCAAACAATATACCCCGGCTATGAGACATATATATATATTTACATATATGTATGTATATATATGTATATATATATATATATATATATATATATATATTATTTCTCCTGTAGAGGGACAAGCCCGACTTAAACCTGGCAGTCCCCTGACCTCTTCGCGTCGTGGAGTGCCACGACGGAATGCTGTCGGCAACTTTCGGCCCCCAGGGGCCCTCAGCGGACCCCGGGGCTATCAAACAGCTGCTCGGGACAAAAGCGCAGTCCCCTGAGGTTCTAAAATATGTTTTGTTCCCTACACGTTTCGTTGGGTTCTGGTTTTCATCCGTGCCGCGTCGCACCCGCGTCTCCCGCGCACACACCTCCCCTCCTTCTCCCTCGTTTCACACATTCACACATTGACACACGCACAGACATTACCTGCGCAGCACAGCACAACACAGCACAACACAGCAGACCGCAGCACAGCACAGGACCGCACAGCACAGTACAGCACAGCTCAGCAGAGCACCGCACTGCACAGCACAGCACAGCACGGCCCAGTCGTCCAAGCATAGCAGGCGTGGCACTTTCTCGATACCATCGGGGTGCGCAGGGGGTGGTCTCCCTATCCGCGCCGGTCGTCCAGGGCATAGCAAGCGTGGCGCTTTGTCGACACCATCGGGGGTGCGCAAGGGGTGGTTTCCCTATCCGCGCCGGTCGTCCAGGGCATAGCAGGCGGCATTGGTTCGGCACCGTAAGGGGGTGCGCAGTGGGTGGTGTCCCTATCCGCGCCCGTCGTCCGGGGCAAAGCAGGCGTGGCACTTTCTCGACACCATAAGGGTTGCGCACATGGTGGTCCCCCTAACCGCGCCGGTCGTCCAGGAAGCAAGCGTGGCTCGTTCTCGACACCGCAGGGGGTGGTCTCCCTATCCGCGCCGGTCGTCCAGGGCATTGAAAGCGTGGCGCTTTGTCGACACCATCGAGGGTGCGCGGGGGGTGGTCTCCCTATCCGCGCCGGTCGTCCAGGGCATAGCAGGCGCGGCGCTTTCTCGATACCATACAGGGTGCGCGGGGGGTGGTCTCCGTATCCGCGCTGGTCGTCCAGGGTATAGCAGGCGTGGCAATTTCTCGACACCATATGGGGTGCGCAATAGGTGGTGTCCGTATCCGCGCCAATCGTCCGGGGCTTAGCAGGCGTGGCACTTTCTGAACAACCATAAGGGGGTGCGCAAGGAGTGGTCACCCTATCCGCGCCGGTCGTCCAGGGCATTGAAAGCGTGGCAGTGTCTCGACACCATAAAACGGGTACGCAGGGGGTGGTCTCCCTATCCGCGCCGGTCGTCCAAGGCATAGCAGGCGTGGCGCTTTCTCGATACCATAGGGGGTGCGAAACTATTGGTTTCCCCATCCGCAGACGGTCGTCCAACGCAAAGCAGGCGTGGCACTTTCTCGGCACCATGGGGGGTGCGCGCGGGGTGGTCCATCACGGCGGCCGCTGTGTGGGCCTGTCGTCCACGGCATACTATGCTTGACACTTTCTCGACACAGTAGGGGATGCGCAGAGGGGGTCGCTTTCCCAGGGCCTAGCGCGCGTCGCACGTTCTCGAGGCCATGAGGGCCATCATCATCATCATCATCATCATCATCAGCATCAACATCATCATCAGCATCATCATGAGGAATTGTAGCCACCATGGCTCATGCGGGCTCAGGCTGTTCGGTTTTTGAACGCGGACGACCGCCGGTGACTCTTCCGTCAAAAATACAGTCCCCGTCGCCGCGCCCACGTGCGCAATGTCCGCTTTGCCACCACCGCGCGAGCAGCTCAAGATATCAATATTAGAGATGGGCGCCGAGGTGAACCTGGATGGTTTGCGCGGCTATGCTGTGCGGCATGGGAGCGCTGTGGTACGCGGCGCATTTGATGCTTACCACCGACAGCTGGCAAGCTGGTGGCCTTACACGCTCCTCACCAGGTACAATGAGTTGCCGCGTAAACGAGTCGCCGACGATGCCAGGAGGCAGCGCTTGGCGAGGTACTTACTTGCTAAGCCCTTCGTGCGCATCGTTATCGCAAGGTTCGCGCAAACGATCATCGCGCCAAAAATGCCAAAAATATGCGGAGCTCCTCGGTCGCATAATCTGTTTGTTCCGTTCTCCGCTACGCGCCGGTCGGAAGAAGTGGGTTGAAACATGAAGTCGGAAGTCGTTGGAAGTAGATTGGGTTCCCCCCCGCCCTTTGACCAGGAGGAAAAAAAAAAAACGCTCGACTCTTGAAGTAGGAAGGCGACTAAAGTACATTAGGAATTGGGCATCCAAGAATACATTCTTTCAGCGACCCGCGTGAAACATATCCTCGCACCTTGAGCAAAGAAGCAAACGCTGACAATTTGCAGCCACTTCCGGGCCCCCAGGGCACCTGGCTCCGGGACGGTCAAACACGACTCGGGATAAACAGCCAATCCTTGGGAAAAACCCCAGCCCTTTGGGGAACCACGTAGCGAAAAAAAACAAAATAACGTCGGACATCATGGTTTGGGGGCCTCCCAGGGCGTCGTCATTGCGGCCGGGTTCGCCTCGAAAGCTTGGTCGGAACGCAACCAAGGACAAGCCCAGGGGATGGGTTTTTGGAAGGGAGGGGCCTGGACCTCCGACGACGTTCCTCCGCGCCGGCCTTCGACGCACTTCCCGACGTCGCGTTGTTTCGCAACCTGGCTCCCGAAGAGTTCTGGGCCCCAGGGGCAGGCTTTTCATCCCGAGTCGTCTCGGGCAGTCCTAGCGCCCATAAAGGGCCCCTGGCGGCCGAAACGTTTTCAAAACCTTTTGTCGCGACTCTTCGAATCATGGAAGTCGAGGTCTTCAGGCCCTGGGATAACCGCAGAGGGAAAACGTTGAAATGCATGAGACATGTAAGAAAAATGGGCGCTACGAAATAAATGAACAAATATGTCTCCGCCGCATCATTGCGCAGAAACCGCTCGCTGGATTAGCGCAGTGGCACGCGGTGCGCGCGAACCGCAGTTGCGCGCGCTCGCCCAAGGGCGACCCGCCCCGGACAACTCGAACGCGTCGTTTGCGAGTCGACGACGCAACCCCGCCGAATCCGCCCATCTCCGACGCCGCATCTGCGACGGCAGCGGCGGCGGCGACGCGGCGGAAGGCAGACAAGGGGGCATAAGTAGCAGCGCAGCCACTGACAGGAACGACGGCGCCGGGAGAACGACGACGGGGCCGATGGAACCCGCACGCGAGGAGAAGGAGAGGGGGCAGGCGCGCGACATCTCCTGGATAACAACAGCGGGCGAAGAGGGGGCGCAGATGCCGGGGGGGGGGCGACGAAAACTTGAATGGGGGCGGCAGCTAGAACGGCCTGGACGGGGCCGCTGAAAACGGGCCTTGGGGCGAGGGAGACAGGGCGATGCGGCGGGGAAATGACAAAGGAGGCGGGCCGGGGCCGCGCGAAGCCACAGGCCGACTCGCAACAGCAAAGGACCAGGTGCTTCTGACTGCGGCTCCACCACAGACGTAGACCCCTCCCCAAGAAACATACAATGTAACACGGTCGCATGCTCCAAGCCTCACTGCTAGATTTCTGGTTGCATCTCTCACTCCCTCCTCTCCCTTAGATCTGGGCCTCGCCGGAAATTCGTGGCGGCATTTGTCTTCTAGTTGGTTTCCGTCTCTGGAGACTGCTTCCCGTGCTCTGGACCGTCAGCGAACGACTCTGGAGGAGACGTCGGCCCAATGGGAGCGGCCGAAGCCCAGGGGACCGTCGTCCCGGAAAACAACTAAAGCCCGGGGAATGATGTTTCCCAGCGTGGCCCCCCAGAAGTCTGGAACCCTTCCTGGGGTCTGGCTGTGGTTGCAGGGGCGTTTGCTGACGGCCCTGGGGCCTGGTGGGGGCCAGAGGGGGCCCGGTGGGTGGCCACAAACCTCCCGCCTCGACCTCTTCACAATGCGAGGAGGCCAGGGCCTCTCGCCCCCTCGCTGCCGCAGAAGCTTCCCCTCCCACGGCTGAGCGCGCCCGACGGCCCGCCGACGGCGCCCGAGAAGCCGCTGAGGAACCTCGAGCGCGCGGTGGGCCACCAGCCAGACAAGGGAGAAGGCACTTAGGGCGAGTGAGGAAGTACAGTCGACGCGTGAGGAGGATGCGCGGTAAGGATGCAAGCCCCTTGGACACCTGAGTTGAAGTTCTTTGAGCTAAGTATTGGGTAAGGGTGGGCCGTAGGCCGAATCGGCAAGAATGCAAGGTTACTCTTGGGAATGCCACTCAGCCTTACCATGCGCGTTGACTGCAGCCCCCCGCGCAACGACACGCTTCGCGCGAAGGACAAGCAGGGGTCCTGAA